ATGATTAAGCATCAGTAAATCAAATTGTTAACAAACAAGTTCTGAAGGTGGGTTTTTTCATTGTTTTTCCCATGAGCCAAATCATTTGCCATAACCAAAGTTAAAGATAAGAAGTAATGAACTGCAATACTGTTAACCGTATAAATACTTAATGGAAGATAATTCATAGATAAGTATAATATTAGTAAATATCAATAGGTTAAGCCACATTGGTAGCAGGAACTATACAAAAGAAAAAACTGTAAATACTTGTATATATTTAGTAAGTAACTACATATATATTGTATTCTGGAAATCATATTATACAATAAATAGTTTATAAAAAAAAAAAAAAAAAGTTCTCGTCTGATCACTGAAGTCAAGCAACGTTGAGCACGGTCAGTACTTGGATGGGTGACCGCTTGGGAACACCGTGTGATGTTGCCTCTTATTTTTTTATTTTTTTGTCAAGCTGGAGAAAAATCCTACAAAATAAAAGTAACTTTATTGCAGATACAATCGAAGCAAGCTACAAGATATTATTACGTTAATTGTATACAATATTATGATTTATTTCTTGCTTTGGCATTTGTCATTCTCTGCTAAATAAAAATATATCTTGTGGGCAGAGTGTCGAAAGATTCGTTATAACTCTGATATTGTATTCTTATTGCAAATATGGCTTACAGCGAAATAGGAACTGAGCCGTAAGTTTAGGCAGGTTTTCGTGGCAATGTGGTTAATCCTCTTGCGAAAAGACGTGAAGATTGTATATTCCGCGGTTATATTGACTACAGCAAAGTAACGATCATGTTCTACACAGTTGGATTCCTACTCTCTCACCCACGGTTGCTTCACTATTCTTGCCGGACGAATAGACGAGATATCGCGATTTGAATATTGTTTTACGAACTTTCTGCGCGACAATCCGTTCCATTCAATGCACAATGGTATGTTCAAATATTACGTTCGCGTACGTGGCGAAGAGTTTGTTCCGACAATTGAACTTAACGTTATGTCACCCCATTCGCAGTGTAATAGCGCGGCAAAAAAGATATTGTTCTCTTGCGTTTCACGTGCCTGCCTATTCGAGGGTGCTCTCCTCGCTGAGAGAAAGTCTCGTAGATACATATATACGTACATGCACATACATACTTGTACACATGTATCAGTTGCTTACACGTGTATATACCTACACCTACGGAGAATCACTGTTTCTAGTCCACGTATCTCCATAAGTATAAGTAGTTATTGAAATACTTGACTGAAGAATCCGATCAATGATTTGATTCATAATTTGTACTCCACATTAGTCAATTATCTTGTACCTGAGAAGCAGAAAGATTTTTGTTTAAAATCTTTCGAATTTTCAAATTTCAATGTTTTATAAAATTGCAACATTATCGAGGCCTTTTATGTAAAATTTCACTTTTAAATTCGTGCTTTTGGATTCATTTCTTTTACTTTATAAATAAAAAAAAATCGACGCTCAGACCTCGTTAAGTCCACAGCTTGTACGCAGAGAGTTTTGTTACAATTAATCTCGTCATGTCACCGAAAACCAGTGGTAAAGCGGTGATGAAGGCGGGTTCAAAAAGAACATTAGAAACCGACAAAACCGACAAAAAGAAGAAGCACAAGAGGAAGAAGGCTATGCTATCTATAACTACAAAGTATTGAAACAAGTGTATCCCACATTAACAGTTTCGTTAATGATGTGTTCGAGAGAGTTGCTGCTGAGGCGTCAAGATTTTGGCGCACTACAACAAGAGATCGACGGTCACGTCTCGTGAGATACAAACTGCAGTGAGATTTCTTTTATCTGGAGAATTGGCTAAGCAATTTTTTTGCTAAAGTATTTAAAAATTTAGCTACATATATATATATATATATATATATATATATATATATAGATCTGCAAATAATTTTGTTGAGTCATCAAAATAATTACTCAAGCATAATAACAGAGTCAAGTATAATAAGCAATGCTGCATAATTTTTGATTTTACATAACAACCAATTTGAGCGTCCTAATTATTTTGATGGCATAACAAAATTACTTTTAGATCTATGTCTATGTGATTTTTTGAATTCTATACATTTTATTGTCATCGACGCGGTATAACTTCAGTCACGCATTTATCACACTGCAACAGTTAACGGATGGATTATAGATAGAAAGGATGGTTTTGCTGAAATATTTAAAAATTTAGTTATATGTATGTGTTAAGAGAGAAATCTAATAAAATCTCTACTTTTATTTCCTCCCTACTTTTATTTTCCCCCCCTACTTTTGTCACTCTTCGCGCTAACGATACCTCGTGCTTAGGAGATTTCGAATATTAACGACTAACATTTTCCCTTAAATGTCGTCTTAATATAATTTCCAAAAAACAACCGGCAATACGACCATTCGATATTCTCCACACTCATTCGCGGATTATCAGGATCTGGTCTGGTCCTAATGGATCGACATTCTTCTTGCGCAACGAGACGCAAAGACCTTTAACGCCGCAACTATGTTACCTTCTGGTTCTGGCGCGACGCTTCGGGCTGGATAATTTATACGGCTGTCTGTTTCACTGGACCTTGACACCTACGGTGACAATCGGCGAGCATCATCTTTGTAGATTGTTGTTAGAAAAGTCTTGCATGATTTCTCGCCAACGATTACATGAATCACATGTGATAATCTCTACAAATCAAATCCCGACGTTAACTAGATTTCTTGAATCGTTTCGTCACTGATTTAAGTACTAGTTGAAGTTCTAATTTTAGAAGCAACATATTTCAGTAAAAATTATTCTAGATTGCAATACAACTGACACAATTCTGATTTCTCAAATAGAATAACCAAATAAGGTAAGAGAGCTTTATTAAAAAAAAACCAGGAAAATTCTATATAGGAAATCGATATAAAATTCCATATGATTCCCAATAATGATTTGGGAATCAAAAATCTAAGTCTTATGTGGATTCCTTTATAGATCTTTATATGGATTTTTATATGAATTTTTCATACATCACGCGTATAAATTCCTATATAGATTTGAAATATTTCATGTTTATAGTTTCCTATAGATTCCCATAGGAATCCACTGAAAATGTTCAACAGGAAAGTTTCTGAGAAAATACAGAAAATATTCTCATATCAAGAAATAAATTAATACTCTACGGATAAATTTGCAACTCTCGTAGAATAGCGATAAAAGTGGAACGTGGCGAAGAAATAGAATCCACGAAGAGATATCTCTTTGCTGAGTGTAGGAGGAAGTAAAGATGCTGCAGCGGCTTATGTAATGGCCCCAATAAAGATTATCGATCCTTTCAAGCACATTTCGCTCTTGGTATCCGTGGCGGAACTACGCTTCGCTGGTTGTCGCGGGGAAAACCAACTCGTCAAAGAGCGATTCTACATTTCACGGTCTCCTGCCCCTTTTCTTATTTTGTCACCGTTCTACGAAGATCTTTTTGACGTGATCGGCTCCGCATTTCTAATGCAAGAACCGCCTTTTCGATGTACTTAAAGTGATTCAGGCGAAATTGCATATTACGAAAGCATCCGTGCTAATCGAGATGTTCCTCGAAATCCTCATGAGATCCCTCCCCGCGTAACTGGAGCCTCCATTCATGAAAAGAGAAGCAGAGATGTAAAAAGAGAGAGGACGAAGATATCTGCCGGATGAGCGAAATTGCATCAGCAGTGTTAATTTTACACTACGACGAGGAGAAATTTTAGAATCATTTAATAGCGGGAAGCAATCAACAAGCATCGAAAGTCCCGCGAATATTACGTCTCTGAAACTTGTTATAATCACTTTCTCAAACAAGATATTATTTCGTATCTGTTATTTTTCCGTGTATCTTTATCCATACACCACCCATAGAGCATTTCAACGACATTGCAGCAACGTTGCAATGTCACTGCGATATCGCTGGAACGTTGCAATGTTGCTGCAACATCGTTAGAATGTTCTGTGTTGTACAGACAACTTTATAGAGCAGAATCTGAGCTCGTTGAAATCGCACGTTGCTTTCAATTCCCAGTGCAAAACAAGAGACAATAACGAAGAGACGGAGAAAACGGGGCTACTCAATACACTTAAGTAGAAACGGTGCTTCGCGAAGTCGAATCGGACATCGTGAGAAGTCAGGTGGTTGGACTAAGCTGTATGCCGCCAGGCGAACGTGCAGTCAGCCAGGATCTCTCGGGCCTCCTGTGGCCCCCGGTGTGTCGATCGAGTGTACCAAGCCGAGTCGAGTCGAGTTCGACTACGTGGTGTTCACTTTTCACGGGCTGGTGGGGTGCGCTCCGGGTGGCCGTGGTGGGTGGCGGTATAAGTAGAGGCCTGCATTCGCCACCGTTCTCATACCCTCACCACGTCCTTCGGCTACCTCTTACTTTTACTTAGTGCCCCTTTTCCCACTTTTTTTTATCTTTTCTTTTTTTTTCTCCTCTCTCTCTCTCTATCTATCTCTCTCTCCCTCTCCCTGTCTCCCTCACTCTCCGTCTCTCTCGCACACACGCACACGCATGCATACTCTCACTTGATCTTTCTTTTTCTCCGTCTATCGGTGCGCGTTCGTTTTGCCATTCGTTCATTCGTTTCGCGCCTCGTCGGCGAAGTCACGTCACGAAGCTGGACGGAGGTCACGTCGGCCGAGGCGCACGTTCCTGGAGAACCCAGTGGACATATCAACAATAAGATCTCTTTACGTGCAGCTGGAAGACGAGTGCCGGTCGTGATCGATCGACAAAAGGACAGAGATGATCGCGAGTGTCCGGTGACGATATAGAACATCAATATTCGCAGAAAGAGTATATCGATATTCTCGAGAGTGCCGAAATATACCGGGTATATACTAATATCGAGAAGTTTCATTAATCTGAAGCAGCTGTTCACATATTACGATAGAAACGGAAGAAGGAAAAGCGAGCAAGACGAGGAAGAAAATTGTGTGCAGTGCAGACATGTGGCTAAGAAGCGTGCTCCTGTGAGTACTCAAGAAATCAGTTAACTATATAGTCCTTCGTATCTCTCTTTTATCTGAGAGAGCGATCTCAGTGTTGAAGCGTGTGAGAATCAGATCTTTGTGAAAATCTTAGTTAGAAAATTAAATCTTAGTTGTGAAAAATTTAATCGTAATTGAATG